GTCGAACCTATACCGTAATCGTCAGATACAAGGGGCGACAGAAGCTGTCTTGCCTGAAAAGGCGTACCTAGTCTTACCGGCCCTCAGGACGCCAGAGACTTGCGAAGTCAAGTGAATGACATGGCTGAACTTCTCAAGCTTGAGCAGATGGTCGACGTGCACCGTCTCCGGCTTGCACACGCGGTTCACATCACAATCATCTCACGACATGGAAGCTACCAGCAGGTCGCCTAGGATATGAAGTTCACGTCAAGAGGAGTCCTCATACTGGTCTGGAATACTGCATTGTACTCCCAAGCTCATTATGCTCAAAGATGGCGTTTGCCCGAACAACGACGGAGTCAGCAGATGACGGTCAGTGGTAGGGAGAAATGTAGCGTCTGCTACGCAACGGTGTCCGCATTTGACGCTCGAAGCGCGCGAAGTTCCTTTTTGATAGGCGGAAGAGAAGCGGCTCAAGCCTTCCTGAACAGAAAGCGACGGTCAACAAACGGAGTTATTGCCCGTCCTCAGTTCGAGCGCGCATAGCGAGATGCATGCGGATTTGCATGTTGGCCCTGTCGGCCTGCTCATTTTGATGGGGTTTACCTACACAAACCATGGAGAGAATACATGGATACATCTAGTAAACATAGCCCAAAAGCTTGCCACCAACGTTCTTGCGACGCGCCTCCTCGTGGTCGAGGATACCCGACGAGGTCGTCTGAGGAAACAGAGGGATATAATTAGTTGATACGACATGTTGTGCAAGGACTTCAGAATGCAACGCACGAGGATAATGATACCGAAACCACGAGCGGGAAGAAGCAAGTTGACCCAAGTCTCAATTTGGTTGACCTGGACGTTGTAGCGCGGGGAGATAACGCCGGTCTTGTTCAGGCGACCGTTCAGCTGGATCACGATCTTGCCCGAACGGTGATCATCAACAATCTCGAACTCGCCAATGTAGCCTATGGGGAGACAACGCATCAGCGACAGTCCCGATGCGCGATCGAAAGATGAAGAAGCGTGGAGGCAGGGAACATAGTAAGGTACGCTATGTGTGTCCCATTTACAGTGAGTACCAGTCCGTGGACAGAAGGGATCAGTACTGTTATGGTTTTGAGATGGATGTTCATATTTCGGAGCATTAAAACGAGGGGCGGGTGGAGACAAAACCTCGTCGATCGTAGTTATAACTCCGAGTGCACACATGACACAGGATAGAGATTGGGCAAGAGCATGTGGAGTAGTATCGAGAAGAAGCGCAACAGACACTCACCATGGCGCTGCATGACAGTAAGGAACTTAACGATGACCTTTGACGAAGGACGGATAAGGACCTGGCGCTTGCCTCGGCGCTCCGCGTTGACGATGTTGTTCTGAAGGCGAAATCAGCAAATATTTCGCAAGCGCGAACCAGCGATACATACCAAGCAGTCGTTAAGAACAGAGACGCGAACCATGATGACAGGTCAAAGGGGCTGAGAGGAGGACTAGGACACAAGAGTCGAGGTAAGTAACCTTAGAACGCTCGTCTGAGTGTCGTGCTACAGAAAGCGCGAGTCAAGACGAGCTAGACCACGGTGCGAGACGGCGAAAGGAAATTCGTCAAGCGCTGTCTGCGGCAACACAATGCGAGATCGGAGTGCATCATTCACCTTGCAAGGTCTTGAGGAGGCGGCGACGGCGACGACGGTGGATAGACCTGCTGAGAAGGAAGGCGTCTAGTCTAACATTACTGGCCGAGGCTTGGTGGCTGAGCAGCTGTATAGTTCCTCATCAGCCACCCGGGATTCTCCGACACTGTCCCGGTGAGAGGCTGTCCCGCTCGTCGTCGTCTACATCAAGCTCAAGCCCCTCCACCCTCCGCAATATTCAAGATGGTAATCAATGAAAATATGTTAGTCTGTCTGACGTCCTCTCTGATGTTCGTACTTTCACTCTAGGGTCGCGTACGCACCAAGACCACCAAAAGGGCCTCCCGTGTCCTCATCGAGAAGTAGTGAGTGTATGCTTCGTGCTCAGCCAAGGCATGGGGAGAAAGGCAACATGGAGTTTCACGAGGCCAAAGGAACTTACGCTTATTGTGCAGCTACCCTCGTCTTACTCTCGATTTCCACACGAACAAGCGTATCATCGATGAAGTCGTGCGTAGACTCTGGGAAGTTAGGTTTGTCCACCCATTAACTGCCCATCCTCTGGACAGGCTTCCGTCCCCTCGAAACGTCTCCGGAACAAAATTGCCGGCTTCACGACTCACTTGATGAAGCGGATTCAGAAAGGCCCCGTCCGTGGCATCTCCTTCAAGCTCCAGGAGGAGGAGCGCGAGCGCAAGGACAACTACGTTCCCGAGGTCTCCGCCCTCGACATCACCGTCAATCCTCTGGAAATTGATCCCGACACCAAGGTATGTTCTCGTCATGCAGTCACATCGAAACTACTCGTCTCACATGCCCTGCGTCTGTTATATAGGACCTCCTCCACTCCCTCAACTTCGACTCCATCCCCTTTTCGGTCGTCCAGCCTGCAACGCAACAGGCCGAGCGGGGACCCCGGAGGGAACGCCGCAACGTCCCTGGTGCTGGCCGTCCGTGAGCCAGTATGTCCGCAGACTGCCTGGGCTTGGGCACCTATGCATTATGACTGCTATGCTCCGTATTGCTGCTGCGAAGATGATGGAGGGCGATCGGAGCGCAGTTCCCGTCCGGCTGTTGGTCGTCGCTATCCTTTCCTCATATATGTACTTGCCTTTCGACGAAGACTGGGCGGGCAGTCTCCTTGTAAATTTCACAACCATGCAAGATCAAAGCGAGCTACAGGGCGAATCAGTCATGTGCGAATGAAAGCTATTCTCGACGTGAATGGCATGAAGTGATTTCTGCAAACGAGACGCATATATCACACATGTGGCACATCACCAGGCAAATGAAATATTTTCGAATAGTACAACAGATAGATCCTACACAGGCATGTATCGTTGCATGAACTCTGTCTATCGCCTACCCCACCATCCTCCAAGGAGGCCACCTAGACCACCACGGGCTTGTGGCGTTGGCTCAGGCGTAGCAGCCCGCTCGATTTCCTCAACTTTAGCCCTTTGTACCTGAGTCTTCTTCTCCGCCACCTGAGGCGCAGGCGCAGCAACAGGAGCCGTCACAGAAGGCGGCACCTTCCCAGCCCGCTCCTGAAGCCGATCCATGTCCAAGTTGATGTAGTTGAGCGCGATGTCGAAGAAGAGTGGTTTCTTGTGGGTCTTGCCGCTCTCCCCGTCGAGTGTGCCGCCGTTGTACGCGAACCAGTCGTTCTTGAATCCCGTGCTCTCCAGCACGAGCTCCTCCTCGAACCTGTTGAGGTCTTGTACATCAAGCGAGTAGAATGCCGGCTCGCCATCGTTGATCGCATCCGTCTCGATCGTAGGGGTGAGCGTGGAACGGCATTCGCGCAGGTGGATTGAGGCGTGCTGCGTGAGCGCGAGCGCCTCTGCGTACTTCTTGAGCGGAGCGTAGCACCAGGATAGGTAGTAGCATCTGCGGGCCTTGGTGAACGAGATTCGCGCGTCGACAGCCGTCGCGAGGTCGGGGCTTTCGTCGACGATAGAGAGCGTGCGCATCTGTTCGAGCGATTGGAGGACGGAGTCGAGCAGCTTGACGATGGCCGGATACAGGCGCGCGTCCACTTGTACCTTGCGCGATGAGCCGGCGTCACGATGGCTCTTCTGCGCGGCGTGTAGTTGGTGGAGGAGCGCGGACGTCAGGAGAAGGTCGCGCTGCACACGGCGGGAGAGGAGCTGGTAGACGATATAGGCGTGCACGAACTGGTTGTCCCGCGTACCCGCAGCAGCGGTCGTCCCACTCAACTGTTCGACACTTCAATGTCAGACCCAAAGGTGGCAACCTGTCCGACGTACCTTCCGCGCCTCGACCAACTTGCGAGAGACGTCCTCAGCCTCACTGAGCGCGAGCAAAATTGCATCATACGAAGCGACACCTCGTTTCGATCGTGCACTCTTGCCCTGCTTCCCCTTCTTGCCCTTCTCTTCCGACACAGGCTGCTCGCTCTTCTCTTCTGCCTTGTCTGAGTCGCCCAACCTCTCCTCTGCTTCCTGCACCTTCAGCAGCACGTCTACCAACTCCGGGTTCCGCACAGGTACCGGCTCTCCCTCCCACAACAGTTCCTTCAGCTTGCCCTTATTTTGAACAGCCGCCCCACTTTCCTCCTTCAAGCGTGCGAGAAGACCATCGCAGCCCTGCACGAGCGCATTTCTGTGTTTCGGGGCCACGTCCGCGACAACCGCGTCGACGTCGTACGCCTTGTCCCTGTGGAGCTCGTGTGCGGCATGGCGGATCTCCGGCCCAATCTCGTCCGCGAATGCTATAGCCAAGGCTTGTGCACGACTCGTCGCAGCGGCGGAGGCAAGTGCATCTAGCAGATTGCGAGCAACGCTCAGCTGCACGAGCGCATCCTCGAACTCGTAGCGTTGCCGGAGAAATCGACCGTTGAGATTGAGAGTATACGTGGTGATCTGCACGAGGTCCTCGGCGGAGAGTCGCGACTGAGCGTATAAAGCTTGGCAGTGTGAGAGAAGCTGCGTCGCCCAGTGGATAGCACGGCGCATCCGCCGCGTTGCATGCTTGCGGTTGGCATTGGATTGCTTTTCGGCTTGATCTGCTGCTGCACCTTTCAGAGTTTTTGCATCGTTAGCGAGCTTGAGGGATTCTTGGTACATCTCTTGCGAGTGCGCCCATGCACGCTCCGCCTCGAACAAGAGCAGCTGCAGGCTGTGTTGCCATGAAGCATTGCACGGCTCAGAAGGAAAATTCTACACTCACTGTCCCTCCTTGATTGTATCGAGGCTGATTGGAGGCAGCTTTTTGAATTCGCGACCTCTGCCGTAGGTCATCTTGAGGGACGAGCGGAGTCGATGTGTACGGTTGTAACAGTGCTTCCTGCCGCATCGCTCGTACCAATCCTACATAGAGACTATCATAAACGTACCTGTAACGTTCATAGTCATTGTAGCGTAGACCATATACGTTCCGCTGCTCGTTCGCAATGAGGAGCGCTGTGCCAACATCAGTCTCCCGCATCCAGCAATGCGACAATGCATACCCTGAAAATGCAGTTTCGGCTTTCCAGACATGTCCTACAGCGAGTCCGACTAGATGTCTCGAGATGTGGGTAGAACGTACTAGGACGAGCGCGATGGTGGAAGGATGTCCGAAGCAAGATGCGTACGCGGCTATCAGCCACTACTTTACATCGACCTCCATCACTTCCCTCGGGCCCCCTCATACTTCCCGCCTTCTCGCATTTCATTGACCACTATCTGAAGTCAAAATGGCCGAGGAATTGCTTGATCCTACCTTGCAGAACATCCTCGATCAGAAGTCGCTCAAGTGGATCTTTTGCGGTATGTCTTTCAGCCACATACCGGTGTCCATCCTCTGATATTGTCAAATGCTGCCAACGTGTAGGCGGAAAGGGTGGTGTCGGTAAGTATTGTTATAGCAAGGATCTCAGTCGCTGCGTGTTCACAAACTCTTGCGCCAGGAAAGACCACGACCTCATGTTCCCTCGCCATTCAGTTGGCCAGTTGCCGTGAATCCGTCCTGTTGATCGTAAGTTCGGCAACTCTCGCACCCCATGATCGTGACAGCTCACATGCAATGCACAGTCCACGGATCCCGCCCACAACCTGTCCGATGCTTTTGGTCAAAAATTCTCGAAGGAGGCGACGAAGGTCAACGGCTTCGACAACCTCTTCGCGATGGAGATCGACCCCACGAGTGCTATCCAGGAGATGGTGGAGCAGTGTACGTCTCTTCTCACTAGTCCTTCCAACCCAGTCCTTACGGTGTTCTAGCGGATTCCAATGGCATGATGGGCAGCATGATGCAAGACCTCGCGTTCGCGATCCCGGGTGTGGACGAGGCCATGAGCTTTGCTGAGATCATGAAGTATGTTCCCCCTTCTCTTCCTGCTGTGTTACTCTGTCCTCTAAGACTCTGTTCGCGAAGGCACGTAAAGTCCATGGAGTACTCGGTCATTGTCTTCGATACAGCGCCGACAGGGCACACCCTGCGTTTCCTTTCCTTCCCCACCGTGCTCGAGAAGGCTCTTGGAAAGCTCAGCACACTGAGCGGACGTATTGGGCCCATGATCAGCCAGATGACGAGTCTCATGGGCGGTCAGGCCGATGCGCCCGAAGATATGTTCGCCAAGCTGGAGTCCATGCGTGCTATCATTACGGAGGTGAACACACAGTTCAAGGATCCTGTACGTACTTCTTGCATGTCTACGTCATTCTCGGGCCATTCTCATCCATATCTACGTGTGTCTACAGGAGAAGACGACCTTTGTCTGTGTCTGTATCTCCGAGTTTTTGTCACTTTACGAGACAGAGCGTCTAGTACAAGAACTCACCGCGTACGAAATCGACACCCACAATATTGTTGTCAACCAACTGCTCTTCCCCAAGAAGGGTATGTATTCCCTTCCCTCCTCGCAATCACTCTCTCAACTCGACGTGCACAGACTCGAATTGCGAGCACTGTCAAGTACGGCACAAGATGCAGCAGAAATATCTCAGGGAGGCGCATGAGCTCTACGATGAGTTCTTCCACATCGTCCAGCTCCCTCTGCTCACGGAGGAGGTTCGTGGGCCGGAGAAGCTCAAGCAATTCAGTAGGATGCTTGTCGAACCATACGCTCCCCCACAGTGAACTAGATGATATGGGTTTGCTTTATTCAGGACATTGTAATATTATGACAGGCTGCATCGGAATCTACGAAAGTACAGTCGTATGTGAAGATCTGAAAGGTGCTTACATAATGAACGCGATGGGAAAGTACAGACCTCGTATCTCTGTGTCGAGGGTACGTTTGTGCATAGTATCTGACAACGGATCTCTACTCATTGTCATTACCATAGTGAGCCGGGCCATGAACTGCTTCCTCCCGGACCTGCATACGGCTCCACGCAATAGTCTGGAAGTGACATTGTGGGCATCTGGCCAATGTGCTCGAACGTCACCGTTGCGAACCGAGCCTGCAGCCGTCTCAGTTCTCCATTGCGCACTACTAATCGCCCCGTCATCTGCAGGATAAGGGTCTGAAAGTACCCATACGCGCCAGTCTCCACTTGTTCCAGCAGCCGCCTCAAGCTAAGCTTCACCACTGAGCCCCTCCGATAACTGTCGTTGCCGTATGCAAGGCGCAGCGTCTTGAGCTTGTGGGAGGCGAAGCCCGGATCGGGGGGGGGGTCTGGGCAGAGGCTTGAGTTTACGTCCGTCTCGGAGGTAACCCGGGTGATGACGAAGACAACGGTTTCCAGCGCGGGTAACGCTGCGATGACTGACTTGAACGCGGCGGTGATGCTATTCTGAGGGGGTATACCCGTGATCCATACTTCCCGCACGGCCTGGAGGTGCTGGCCGGCGCTGAGCACGAAGCGAAAGTCGTCCCAATCGATTTGGAGATCGGGGGAGTCCTCAAATGTGTCGGTTGAAATGTGGAACGTGCCCTCTGGCCCCCGGGCGGATAAGACGAGCTGCCGCGAGCAGTCATCTCCTAGCGCCGGGTTCAACGAGAGGGATAGGTGGGACGCCTTTGCCCTTGTAACTTGAAGCAATACCTCAGGAGAGAGGTCGGCGAAGTCTATCACGTCGAGGTCGTTGATCTGTACTGCAACAGGCCTAGGATGACATCGGGTGTCCGGGGTGTCCACTAGCGCTGAAGAGCCCATGGCCCCAATCATGGAAAGAAAGAACCTCAGTGCAGCGACCTCAAACGGAGGCAGCTTGAGGGACACTCTACAGAGGTGACTGAGGGTGAGTGGATGATTGTCTGGCTTATCTTCCGGTACGACTGTCTCGTCCGAGATGATGTCCTCTGAGTAGCTAATCAAAAGGCTTTCCAGGTTTGGACAGCGCGATACGAGGTTTTGCTATACCCATGACGCAATCACGTGTTTCGACGTCCTCGAGAGCAAGATGGGTTAGGAGCGGGAACGTGTCTCCTGGCAGGAACGTGACGGATTGCAAGGACATGCGTCGCAAGTTAGGGGCGTTGGCGAATGACATAGGACATAGCTCGTCTTTTGTGTAAATATCGCATAGACCAATGGATTCCAGGAGAGGTAGAGATGCTTGGAAGTGGCGGCTGATTTGGGATAGCTTTGCGATCTGGTGATCGTCGTGGTGGGTGGTACCAAGGCGGGCAATATGGAGCTCGTGGAATCGCGAGACCTCCACAGCGTCGAAGTCTTTTGCAAAACCTGTTCGATCTCGACCGCTGACGAGTCCAATTGTGGGAATGACGCAGCCTTCGCGTAAAAGGGGGGCTCTCAGCTCATAGCTCAGATCAGCTGAGAATGTCCTCCAGAGTATCGGGTGAGAAGTTGCGGTCCTCCGCAGCTGACGGCAGGTTCGCAGCACCGGCTTTAACATGGATGTGTCCATCGCGCCGGAATGCCAGGAGGGTCGGAGGTTGACGCTCGCGGATAGCGGGTCTTGGACGTGTTCCAGAATCTGATGAAGCAGTTCTACAGGTAGTCAGAACAAAGGTGCCCGACGGTTCAGTTCTTCGCGTAAGTTCGCAACCGTCTTCGTCAAGAGACCGACGACATCCTCAATCTATGCCAGATGAGACTCAGGTGAGAATAGCTTGGCAATAAGACTTGACAGGCCCGACTATCAGGCAACACTATTGAGACGTACGGATTCGTTTCTGACATATTGTGGCTCGTATTAGTTCGTCTGATCTCAGGATTTTGCATATGAAGACGTACGACATTTCGTGGCCTCCGGACTGGGCATAACGATGTAGGGTTCTTGCCAGGCCTCAAATATCTCCGTCGCATGTAGCTACTAGCATGACTTTGGCTCTCGGCGAAGTGTGTTGCCAACGGTTGGAGCGAGTCCGTTAAGTTGCCTTGGGCAGAAGGGGAGGATCATGATGAGGGCGGCACAGTCCCGGCGGCTATTCGAGTGTGAAGCGCCCGGGGTGTACGACTCAATAGCCGACTGAGGTACCTGGCATTCGAACTTCTCAGTACTACTTATGCATTGAGGCAATACAAATGAGTGTCATAGAGGTTGCTACAATGGCTTTTTGCATTCTATTTCGCCGGTGAATCCAGTATTATAAGGCTGTAATGTACGATACGATTGAGGTGAAAATAGAAGCTGATCCGCTGCTATGCGACTCGAGCTAGAGAAGGCTCTGGGCAGGATGAGCGCAGGGCTGACCTGAACATAAGTACTCGCGTAGATCGTCACCAAAGTGAGCCCAGCCATGAGCTACTCCCTCCGGGACCTGCGTATGGCTCCACGCAAAAGTCTGGGACAGGCATCGTCGGCACACGCTCGACATGCCGGTATTTCACCGTCGCAAAGTGCCCTTTGAGCCTTTGCAGGTCCACCCTGCTCACTACCAACCATGGCTCCATTTGCAAGATGAGCGTCTCGAAGTACCCGTAAAACCCGGTGTCCATATGTTGCAGCAGCCGTTTCAAGCTTAGCGCCTCTACGATGCGGCCCCTGTACGCGGCATTCCCGTACACCACGCGTAGCGTCTTGAGCTTGCGTGGCGCGAAGCCCGCATCAAGCGCACTCGGGCAGAGAGTGAGATTCGGACCCTGGGGAGGAGAGCATGATATCGTCGTCATGACGAAGACGATGGTCTCGAGGGCAGGTAATGCGGCGATTGTCGACTTGAACTTGGCCGTGATGTGGTCCTGACGCCCTGCTTCGGGATGCTTCCCCGAAATCCAGACTTCTCGTACAGCAGAGAGGTGTATGCTATTGCACAAGATGTTGTTGAGGAAAGAACCATAGAATAGGTCCCAGTCCCCGGAGCGATGTTCATCCCTGAATGGCTCACTCGAGATGTGGAATGCGCCTTGAGGGCCTACGGCAGTGATGCTGAGGTACATGATATCACCGCGTCCTGGGACGGGGCGAATCGAGAGGGACAGGTCAGTTGCTTTCGCCTTTGTGGCACGGAGCAGCAGAGTCCCAAGGTGCACGGACAAGTCTTGCACCTCCTTGTGCTGGATTTGGAGAGCTATTGGAGCCTGAGCAAGGCGGGTGTTCAACGGGAGAAGGGAGAAATAGAACTCCGTGACGGGAGCGGAGAACGAGGGAAGTCTAAGCGCGACCCTGCGGAGGCGGTCAAGAGTGAGAGGTTGGAGAGGGCGCGGCGGAATAGGGATGTCTTGACCCTTGTGAGGGTAGCTAATGACGAGGCTCTCGAGATTTGGACAGCGCGATAGAAGGTTCGCGGTCTCGAGGTGGTACTCATGAGTATAAATGTCCGAAAGGGCCAAGTGGGTGAGGTTTGGGAATGCCTCTGTTGGTACGAAGGAAACGGACCATAGCGACAGGAATCGAAGCTTGGGAGATTTGTCAAATGACAGAGGACATCGCTCTCCATCAATTGTGAGAACTTGAGAGACGGAAAGAACTTCGAGAAGTGGGAGGTCCGTATGTGAGTAGCGACGGAGGTGCGCCACATCGTCCCGCATGCGGAGGCTACGGAGGTTGAGAATGTGGAGTTCCTGCATTCTGGACGCGTCCTTTTCATCCAAGTCGCCCAGTAATCCAACCCCGTCGGTGCCGTCAAGAATAGCAATCAAGGGGACGTCGTGGCCTTGTGATTTAGGGGAAGGGAACTGGTAGCGTGCAGCGGTACATGTTGTCCTCCATAGCAGTTTATGAAAGGTTGCGATCCGGTGCAGTTGCCGGCAGGTTTGCAGGACGGGAAGTAGCATAGAAATGTCCAGTGCGGCGCTCCGCCAGAAGGGCTTGAAATCGTCGTACCCCTTGCCCAGCGGATCAGGTACTTGTTCTAGGATGAGTTGCAGTGTCTCGATGGGCAGCCGGAACAAAGGAACCTTCGCGTTCACGCTCTCTTGTAGAGTCGCAGTAACATCGGCTAGGATGCGTTGTAGATCTGCGATCTAGTCGCAGGGCTGCCATAAGACCACCACTGATCCCTATATGAATGAGATTATAGACTCACAACCTCTTTCCTGGTATATTCATTCAGTGATGGTGCGTCGCATCAGAAGAAAGTGGTAGGTCAACATACGACATGGAGTGCACCTTGCGTTTAACATCTGCACGCAAAGTCTCAGCTAACTCTTTGATGTCTAGGCATCCTGTCTCCGTGTCGGAACGTGTCGTCATACTGTATACGCGCGGTATCGGCGGGACTGGATGGTGGTATCGGATGAGCTGCGTCTCGAGACAGGTTGAGGTGAGACCCAAGATAGCCTAAGGGCGTTTCTGGTAGGTGGGACGCCGCTCGTTGGCATGATCGATCTGTCATCGTCGACCACTGAGAACGCCGAGACCGCAATCTTGGTCATCGCCTACCAGCTCGTTGGGGGCCTAGTCCTCCTTACAAGTGCCAAGAACTGAATCAGGACTGACAAGTAGCCGAACCAGACAGTGATGGAAGACACGCTGAGTTCGATGACATGTCACGGCTCCTCTGTTAATGGACTCAATGGCATCTCACCAGCGTTGAAGTGTTGTGTAAGTAGTATTGACGCACTAATCCTCTGAGATTGAAGCGTTTCGTGGCAGTATGAGCGCGTGAACATTCTTGCGAGCTTCGAGAAGTGCAGCTTTACGTTGCCAGCTGTCATAAGAGATCGGTCCATTCGGAATGAGGCGCGCGCCAGTAAGACGTACTGCAGATTAGGATATAGTCGTGTATGCCGCGGATTCGTGAGTCGAAGAGGAGTACGTTCTTGATGGTACGTGCGAGGCATACGCAAAGGCGACTGCTTGGGACACCAAGAATCCTCCGGAAATCCCCGAGCCAATGGCATCCACGCTAGCCCTGGGCTGGGCTCTAGCCCGCTCACGATTTCTACGGTACGTTGACGAACCTCCTGGCGGTGCACAACAAGGTCATCAAACCCTTCAAGCTTAAATATTTGTGTAGGTTAAACAAGAGCATTCTTGCGAGCCTATGATCCTGATATTAATAACTTATTGACGTCTTCCTCCCCCCCTGCCTGCCACTCAGACGCCCCTGTATGCTCTGACTATTAGAGGCAATTGTGCACCCGCTTTCCGATCACTGGTCAACGCGGGCCGTTGGAGAAATTGGCCCTGCGGGACGACCTGCTCGGTGGGTACTGCCAGCTCGAATTCGAACCTCCGGATGAGCGTGAAGACAAGTGCCTTCATTCTGGAAAGACGAGTGCGGCAATTCAGTCACGGTCCTGGGTAGAGCAAGGGGCAGCACATACTCGACGAGCGAGAAGCGATAACCGATGCACGCATGGGGGCCGCCAAGGAAGGTCAGCAGGTGGCTCCACACGCCCGGAATGGCTGCTATGGCTTCAGGTGGGTGCTCCCACCGCTCAGGCCTAAGGGATAGCGGGATCAGTCAGTATACACAAGGAAGACAGTGGTGAGACCTACTTGAACTCAAACGCGTCCTCGCCCCATATCCGCTTCGACGTCTGCAGAGCAAGGATAGGGATGACAATGCGCTGTTTCTTACGGATGGGGATCTCGTGAAGGACGTTCCCGTTCTTGTCCGTGATCGGCTCGGACAGAGGGAGGACATCATCGTGCACCGCCACGCGGCTTGTGAGCGTGACGGGTGCATACAGGCGGAGGGACTCGCGAATGATGAGGTCAAGGTATGGCAGCGCGTTGAGGTCTTCCATGGTTGGAATGTCGGTCGTGACCGCGAGAAGCTCCTCGCGGAGTTTTTGCTGCATCTCGGGATGCTTGCATAGCGCGTAGAGACACCAGGTGGTGGCGGTGCTGGTTGTCTCGTGTCCGGCAACAAGGAAAGTAGGCACCTCTATGAGTAACAATCAATACCTGAGTGAATATGAGCCAAAAGACTTCGCCGAGACGACTCACGAGCTACGACCTCCTCGTCAGTGAGCTTCTGATCATCGGGAATGTCGGTCGCCATATTCGCCTTGATGAGAATAGTAAGCAGGTCACGGCCTTGCAGATCTTTTTTCTCGATGGCGCCTGTGCCCTTTTCGCCGTACTCGCGTTGAATCTCCGCTTTCTTCTCTTGCAGTAGTTGCATACCTATGCGTTGCATAGTCTCGCGAGCGTCCTCGGTCTTCTTCGTACGATCGTCTCGCTACGCGTACCGCAAGGTGAGCCCGATGAGTAAAAGCAGGGCAAAAGGACCACGTACGAAGCGACTGAAGAAAGGCACCCGATCCTTGAGAATCCTGCCAACTGTGATTGGGGGAGGGGTCTTGAAGAGCTCGGCGAACACTCGGTTCAGCTCATTTGGAGGTTCATTTGGGTTGAGGGCGTCGAACTCGTAATTGAAGCCTTGCAAGACCTTTCAGGATCGATCTTACGGCTATATAGGTTACAGAGGGTTGTACCTGCAAGACCTATGACATCGAGTGTCATTTTACTGAGGCCATCCATGACATTCGTCCGCAACGTCCCATCAGGGGACGATGCAACCTGGTAATTCCAGTATTCACAGAGCTACATATCAGCAGGGTTCGGATTCAGCGACATGTCAGTTGAAGAGACGACCGGTTGCATACGTTGTTCGCCTTCTCGAGGAAAATCTCTGTCAGCCCACGGATTTGACCTGGGCCGAACGCAGGGTTCTACAGCAGCGGTGAATACGCTGTAATGGAAGAACGTACACTCGCCACACGTACCATGATACGCCGCTGGTGTCTGTGTGTTTCGCCTATCATGTATGATTTGTAGCGTTAGTCGTTTACGTCAAGAGACTATCCGTGCTTGCACCGACCTTCCGTAACCAGAACACCTAAAAGCGAAGTGGACCGGTCAGGTCTCCATCGTGTCTTGTATACAAGAACTGCAAACCTTGTCCGAGGAGCATAGAAAGACCCTTGCGGCTCTCCTCCGGCTTGAAGTACTCCATAGAGTGCGTGAGGATATGGTTGATCAACCGCAAATCGGTCGTGTATAACCAGGGGAACTACAAAGAACACGCGATTAGCACCACATCCTCTCAAGCACGATCAGCCATCGACTACGGACGTTAAATATACCGAAAACGCGTATAGTAGGCCCGTATTCTTCTAACCATTTCGTGTGCAGATGCGGATGGTTGGACCCGATCTGTAGTAGATTGCCAAATAACACGTGTCCTCTTGGGGGGCCCCGAAGGCGACCAAAGGGCGAAAGCCACCGAGGTACAGCCGTCTTCAATATCCTGACGAGAAGCAGGACAACGGCACCCGCAAAGAGTAAGAGGACGCTAGCCATATCGCTACAGAATTTTCGGGCTGGACGCGTCGTCAAGGTTTGATAGGAGCCTGGAGATAATGTAACGAGCGAAGGACGGAATGCGATAGACAGCAGACAGCTGTTGACCCTAATATACTCTAACCGTCAAACGCGTACAGACGTTTCGCGCTCCGATGTGTCTGGTCCGGCTGCAGAATCAGGGACGCGGAGGATGTTTTAAGGTGGTGGGGAGGAGCCAAGTTGACGCAGCCGCACTGCCACGGGCCCGGATATGTCCAAGAATATATAGGCGCCGAAAATGTGCCGCGTTGACGTGAGCAGAATAGCGTACGTCTGCGCAATTGTCTCCGATGTTGATCATATGAACTCCCAGAGGCCAGGAGTGCTTCTTTCCACTTAGAATGGCTGAAGGCATCTCTACTGGCACTCTCTCAGGACCCATGCTTCCCAGCTGAGCGCTTCGATTACGGCAATTCATTAGCCCGGCTCAATTTAATGTGATTGCTTCCTGCATGATACGCTCCCGGTCAGCTCTCCCGGGACGGTATGTAGAGAAAACTAACACAACAAAGGTGATGTTGGTGTACAACCCGCGCGATGGGGATTGCGGTGTGGCAGACATGTAGAGACTACGACGCTCTATCACATTGTCCGGCGGTCAGTTTCAGACGGGCCGATATGGGTGCTAATCCCAGTGAACAGACAGACATTTACTTGTCGATTTGTGATGTCCATGCTTGGCGAGACAAGGCCGGTGTCGAAGCTGCCCAGTGGTGCATCAGTTCCCTCCCACGAAGATCATCGACATACCACCGAAAACGTACTGTCCTACCATAACGCACCAGCTACCAACTTCCGGAAGTCGCCTCCAGGTCCCAACCTGGTCGCATAGCAGGTCTCCGGCAGAGGTATGGAAGGTCGTCTGTCCACAACCTCGACTATCACCTCCCTGAAGTGCTCGCGCAGCACCTCAATATGCTCCTCGGTGGGCTCAACCGTCTGCTCATGCTGGACAACGAGGCGGTCGAAGTACCGATACGCGTTCGTCCTTAGCTGTACCACCATCCTGTAGAACGCCAACGACTGTCGCACCACGCCCCGGCTCCGCCTCGCCTTCAGGTCGTCGAGCTGAGAGTCGCCAGTGGAGTCATAGTATATCAGCCGCAGATTCTTCAAGGACGGGGAGTTGAACAAGGGGTCATCCACGTTGGGGCACAGAGAGAGATCCGGTTCCATGAGCGTCCGAGAGTGGCGATGCGAGAGCACGATGGTGTCGAGCAGCGGCAGGCCCGCAATCGCCCGTGCGACGCTCTCAGAGTGCACGGTCCACCGCTCGTCCCCGTGAGTGACCCATACCTCCCGTACAGCCCAAAACGCACTGGGTACCTCCAGGTTAAGGAGATGGCTGAGCCATTCGCGTACGACAAGCTTGCGCGAGTGCGCGAGGTACGACACGATGTGGAACACGCTGCTTGAGGCGACCGCAGTGACGGATACGGTGAAGTCGACAGTGCTCCAATCGCGGTGGCCCCCGAAGGCAAGCCTCTTGATGGGGCTTTGGATGCAATTCGCGACCTGGGGGCCGTGGTTGATAGTCCAGATGTCCGGCTGGTAAGTGAGGACTTGGAGTGCGATTGTGTGGGTCGTTGGAGGGATGAGGGATAGGTAAAACTTGAGCGAGTATGCGTCGACGGTGTTCAGTGTAAGACGGCGCAGGTGCTGCAGGTGCAGGGGCGCTGGGTCCTGGTCGAGCTCATCCAGTCGCACGTCATTGCTCAGTGCGAGGTAGACGATGTTAGGACACCCTCGTAAGACATGTTCTATTTTCCCGTGAAGTCCAGGCAAGCTGATGTTGCAGAGGGCGAGGTGGGTGATGTTCGGTAAGGGTATCTCTGGCAGCAAGGGGACCTCGTTAATGTAGAGGTCTCGAAGAGAGGCGGCGGCGTTCATAGGGATTGGCAAAGCGTGTGTGTGCCATTTTGATAGCGAGCCTGCTCGGCCATCGAAGGAATAGGATCTCAAAAGAGGGCTCTCGAGGGAGAGAAGTGACTCCAGATACTTCATGTGACGATGCCCGACATCCGTCAGATGAAGTTCTTGTACTCGGTGTGCATTTTTGGGATAGAAGCTATCCACCAGTTTGGTGAATTGCTTGGAAGGAGACAGCAGTACCTTCAGGGGGACGTTCTCGCTCCTCAGTATGAGATCCGAAATGAATTCTTGTGCTATTGGTTCGTCCAGGGAAGATGACGCAACCACCGTTGACCAAAGCAAGGGGGTAGATAGCATGACCTCTCGCAGACGACGGCAGGTGTGAGTGACCGGGATGAGCATGGAGCTATCAAGAGCCTCGTATTGCCAGAAGGGCCGGAAGTTGTACTCGAGTGAGGCGTTGCAGTCTATTGGGTCGGGAACGTACTCCAGAATCCGCACAAGAATTTCGACGGGCAGATTGAGCAGTGGTGTGCGATCGTTCATTTCCTCTCGGAGGACAGAGACAGCTTCTGTTAATACCTCATGACATATTTCCACCTACAAGTCAGGATGGTCAACGATGAGTTGAGTTCGTGGGATCAAACAACCTGACCGTTTCGTTACTGTCCGGTGGGGAGCATTAACACGACGTATCAATGCAATAACAAGTCGCTTTGCAACGCACGTCATGCCTTCCGCTTCCTGTTCAAGCCTGCCAAGGAGGAGCCAGGCAAGATCCTCCGTAGTTACAGATGAGAGATCAACGAGCATGATGCGCACGAAAGGATCGCGATTCAGGAGACGATGGGTCGGGTGCAGCAAGTTCAACGCGACGTGGGTAACAGGCGCTACCACGTGAGCCTGCAGGTACGAGACGCGTTGCGGGAGTCGTTGAAGGCGACTGCCTTGTTTCCTCCCGCCACCTGCCCTTGCCCTCCGCTTATGTCCTGCTGAACACCCGGAACGACGCCACTTTTACTGGACCCATCTGAGGAATAGACTCGCTTAGAGCAACAAACCACAGCGGAAAGATGGCCGCAGACCTCTCGGCGCTGCTGAACGCGTCCAAGGCGTTGACATCCCACCTCTCACGTCCTGACTTGCCCTCTGTGAATCTTTCATTGGACCAAATTGAGGCCCAATCACGACGACTTGTTTCAAGGCAGCCAGGGACATCCGCAGACACAAGCCGCGCGTAAGTCCCTACTCGACATTCGTGCATCTGGCGCCGGCTATATGTAACGCTGCGCGCATTGTTCGACAGGAACTACCTACTCGCGCAAGCACATGTCGATGCATCTGCACTGTCGAACTCGATTGCGCACCTCAACACCCAGAGTACTTTCTCTCCGCTCCAAGCCCTCCAGGATACCGACGTAGCGGGCTACCTCCGCCATGCACACGAACAGAATTTGATCTCCACCATCGAGGAGGGCAGGAGAGAGACGCAGGAGGAGTTCTACCGCGTACTTGAGGATAGAAGCAGACGCGATTGGGAGGCACGTAAGAAACGCGTGTTCGAGCAGCTTGGTGCGCGAGTAGGCGGGGAGAATAGGGCAGTTGCGGAGCTTAAGAAGAGCACACACGGGAAGAGTTTGCTGTCGGTGAGTGTCCTTTCGTATACCCCTTCGAATACATCCAGTATCGATAGCTCTGCTGCCTGAACCTGTTCTGAATGTATCACTGTTCACCCACAGACAAGCGTCGGCCCCAGTCCTAATCTGCAGATGCAGAGCAAGATGATGGCATATGACCGCGTCGTCGCTGAACTGAACACCGCCAGGCTGCGTGGGACGTCCTTCCCCGTCGTCCACGCCTTTGTTCGGGCAGCCTCCTCTGTAAGCTCCGACGTAAGTTCGATTTCTACCTATCTTCTCCGTCAATCTCTGATGTGCATCGACCATAATGCGAATCAGCCACAAACTCTTCAAACCGCCCAAAATTTCCACATTCTCTCAAAAATCACAGGAGAGCCACCCTCGCTGCCTCCAGTCTCACACGCGGGGGCGCACATACTCAACGCGCCCCTCATGGAGCGCAAGTTCGCGCGGGCGCATCTTGGTGACCCAGAGTCCCGCGACGCCATCGAGCTCCGGAGGCAGATCGCCAAAGGCGCACGCGAGGCGCTCGAAGAGCAGTACATGGACGTCCTTGAGCGCACGCTCCAGGCGCGCGCAACAGAAGCACGTCTGGGGGGAGACCCGAGCGTCGCGAATAAGATCCGTGCATACGTCCTTGTGCGGCACTACCGTGGAGGCCAGTGGGACGACCGGATCGATATCGTAGCCGGGCAGCCGCTGTGGGCGAAGCTGTTCTATTTGGTGAGGACGGGAAATGCGGAGGCTGCGCTGGAAGAAGCGACAAAGTTCCAGAGCGCGATCGAGCATCGCGAGTCGAACTTCTTGAGCCACTTCCGTGCGTGGGTGGAGTCCCCGGACAGGCGGTGAGCTCTACTGCTGCTGATATACGGCGTCCTCACTGGGGCTAACGACTTGTAGGCTGCCCAAACCGCACCGCGACCAGCTGCACGCGGCGTACAACGCGCACATGCTGCATTCGTCCTCTGCGGACCCGTTCAAGCTCGCGCTCTATAAGCTCATGGGCAAGATCGATCCTGCACGCCGGAGCGTGCCGCAGGTGACAGTTACCACCGAAGACTGGCTATGGTTCCAGCTTGCGATGGTGGATGAGGATGAGTTTGGCGGGCTTCGGGGGCTGGCGGAGGTGCTGCTCAGCTATGGAGAGCGCCATTTCGATGGAGTCCCTGGTCAGAAGGGCTCGAAGAGAGGCGTCTGGGCAGGAGTGTTGCTCATGTGCGGCCAGTTCGAACGGGTAAGCTATTCATCCCCAATTGACCCAACAGTGCGAGACGTCTGACAGGGGTGGTAGGCAGTTGCCGCGTTGTGGGATCACCCCGAGACGGAAGTCGAGGCGGTCCACCTTGCCATCGCACTGGCGTACCACGGTCTTCTGCGCGTACCCTCGAGAGCCGAGACTTCGGACGTCACGCCTCGTAAGTCTGGACTCAGCATCGATGCCTTCGTATAGACTGATTCCCTTCGCAGTGACGCTTTCTCCCGTATCGTCACCTGCACTCAGCCTGTCGACCCTCATCTGGCGATATGTTCGCCAGTTCGTGAAGATGGATGCGCGTGAGGCATTGCAGTACGTGTACTGTGTATGCCTCAGCTCCGACCAGCCAGGCGGCGTCGGCAAAGAGCAAGTTGAGAACGCTTGGGAACTCGTCCGCCGCATCATTGTGCTCGCCAACACCGGTGCAGCATGGGAGGAGCTAGTCGGTGGCTTCAGGCCAGATGGCACGCGTTTCGTACGTCCTCTGTCAATCTTCCTGTATGCGAGCACACGAGTCTCAACCCTCACTCCACAGCCCGGCGCAATCGAGCAAAGCGCTCCGCTCCTCAAGCTTGAGGACTCGCGGGAGTACAACGAGCACATCCTCATTCGCGCCGCCAAGTCATCCGAGGAGGCAGACCGGATCCCCGAAGCTATCAAGCTCTACAACCTCGCGGGCGACTACGCGACCGTCATCGGCGTGCTTGCGCACGCCCTCGGCAACACGATCGCCCAGCCGAGCATAGACGAGAAGGCACGCGCGATCGAGCGGACCGCGGCGGATATCTTGAGGCACTACGAGCGGACGAACAGGGCTGTGGGCAAGGAGCGCGATGCCGTCGTTAGGCTGCTCAGAGTGAGGGAGGCGATGGACGCGAAGGATGCGGGGAGGGTGGAGACAGCGCTCGAGGTGCGCTCCGTTCCCTTGGGTTTCACCCAGCAGTGTGGTTGTCTGACAATAATCCTACACTTACAGCTTATGGAGTCGACGGACCTCATACCCATGGATGCGGACGTCGCGAAGATCACGAAGCGTGCAGAGGAGTTCCGCGAGCTGCCGGACGCGCTGCAGCGCAACCTTCAAACCTTCCTTACGCTCACGATGGACATCCTCGCGGCAGTCCACCAAAAGGTCAAGAACTCGTCGCTGCCCGACGTCCTTCGCCAATCGGTGTGTCTCGTTTGTCTTTCGTCTGTCGGCTAGCGCTGATCTGTATGTGCTTCAATGATACTCATGCCGTGCTTACTTCTATGTAGACTCTGGCTTCGCTGCGCAAAAAATCGAGGTCTCTCATCATCTTCGCCGGAAACCTCAAGTACAGGATGTCGCCGGACGTCTATTCGTATCTCGCACGGTTGGACGTGGAGATTGCTTTGTAATAGCCGCTACTCTCATGTATTGTATCACGACATTCATGCCTTCGAGAGAAGGGTTTCGCTTCTTGTGACTGCCGCATAGCCTACCAATTGCTGGCCACGTGAAGTGGCCAGGTCTGTCTAGCAGTATGTCCTGATTCGTGTGGAGGTCGTTAGCTCGGACGGCTGCGTGTTTCAAGACGTGAGGTAGGTCTCAGGAGACCTCCGGTACCTTAGGTTATGTCTGCGAGGCTGAATGGGCTGAGGTCCGTCTTGAGCTCAGATGGGAAACTCATAACACTGGAGGCATGCAATCATGATAAGGCGACATGTATACCGGAGGTGACAATAGCGCGCGTTGTCGAGCTAGTATGATGCAGGCATTAGTTCAGGGACGGTGAAGGCGAGAAGATATGAGGTGTTTGGTCCACATTGTACCCTATAACACATGATGCACGTGTAGCAAGGACTCTTCACTGGGAGGGGCATATGAGAATCCGAGAGGGTTTACTTACTGCAGCATTGATTGTAACAATACGATACGGAGTGCTCACATTTTCGCCATTTGTCTCATAATCGCTATCTAATGCGAACGGAAGAAGATCGATTCATAGTACTAACCGGACTACAATGAAACACTAACGAGGCCTATATTTGCCTACTTCGGTACTAAAATATCTCCCCCTGCACTCACCTGACATATTACATAGTAAGACGAAACATGACCCCACCTACAAATGCCCCACGGACGTCAGTGAGCAACAGCTTAGTTGAAGACGCACCTCATAGTCTGTGCAGCCACATTGCCAAGGCCCAGCGTACGCTTTACAGCAATGATCTGTCAGCCTCCCACTACCATACTGCGTTAGGTGAGGACTCACCATGCGGAGGCTCAGCCTTGCAATGCGACGCATCCACTCCGCACAGTCCGAGTCGTCCATCCTTGACAGACGACTTGACCGGAAAGGCGTTGGCTCGCCTACCTTCCCCTGCCGTCAGTGTTTTGCGGCAGGGGTGACGAGCCCGAGTAGGATGCGGCGCGAACGTCGAATGCCAACAGGTGGGCTGACCATCGACGGGGCGGCTGACACCTCGATGCGCATAGCCTAAGGCTGTAACGGTGATGACGTGGGTACGATTCGGCCCATGTGGAGGGGACAGGGAGCGTACATTGTTGCGTATCAGCCATAAGGAGTCTGCAAGCGCAAGACTCGCCCAATAGGATTGGGGCAGCGGTCTGCGTGCCACTACCATGAGTGGCGGACCATGCACGATATAAGGAAGGACGTACCAAGGATCGCTGGGCACCGCCGACGTGGACTGGGAGCTGAAATTCAGTATGAGGGAAGATGTTAGACACGGAATGCGACGTACAGCGTCGTGAGGAGGTGCCCGTAGACTGATGTTGTCCTCACCAGGAGAAGCGGTGAGAACAAACCCAATTTTACATCTCTCGCAGCAGAGCGTACAGCCAGCGACCCAACATCAAGAGGCTGATGCGAGTCGCCGGCGCACCTAGAGCATTGAGAGAAGTAAGAGAAGACGGAAGTTCTAAGGACAGAGAGGTGAGGACAGGAGGAGGGTTCTTATAGGCCAGGAGGATAGAGGCTGGCGGTGATCGATGGCGATCGGTTCGGCTTCGGGGGACTAAGTGGTCAGCCGAGTTAGGTCATGGCTCGCTCAGCCAGAGCTCCTTATCTCGGGTCAAAACGGTCAACTGTGATGGTGGGTGTCTGGGTGGCAGCAGCTGTTTCAATGAATTAATGCGGGGTGATCATAAGTGCATGTGACTCCATTCCACACTACATACCGTTAACCCAAGTCGGCATTGTTTGTCGACCCAGCGATGATGAGACTTGCTGCCGATAGGATGTAACCCAGGCATATTGGGACGCACCCGAACCACCAGGAAGAGCACGCAGAGCCGAACGTGACATGGCTCTTCACGCCACGATCACGATCGCTGAGTGCGTCCGTACTCGGCTCAGCTTGGGAAGCGAACAAGAGGTCAGCCATCATCGGCTCTGGATCGCTTGACGCCACCTCTTCTCGGTTTCACTGGTAGAGAAGTTAGCTAGAAGAACGGGAAGCGGGGGTGAAAAAGGTCGATCGTCGCCGCACTTGTCCAGCTGACACCAAGTACTGGAGCCCTGATCGCCAGCAGTGACTGAAAGAAATGAACCTCTGTGCGACGCTCTCCATTATGGCAGCCGACGCGTTTTCGCCTTGGGTTGTCTCTAGGTTGTGGGATGCTTGGTCGACAGGTTCAAGACGCGATAGCTCAGAAAAGCCCTGGAAGCGGCAAACATCCGCTCATGACGCCCCCGGAGATGTCAAGCAAAACATGACCTTCAATGTGCTTCGGTGCCGATCTTGCACTGCATCTGGGACCCTATACATCAGGACAACCTAGCAAGGCGAAAATTCCAGCCAGTGCCGACCTTATATTAAAGCTTGGTTACGCTGGTGATCCTGGCCAAAGCCTGGTAAGTCATATGCCGCGATCCTTACGACGATTTGACCAACCTAGACCTCTGACTACCGTCAGTTTTCTTAGGCCGTCGGTCTGCCTTCAATTCCGCCCAGTTCAGGACATGGTCGACGATGGAAGACTTGGCGACTAGAGGCAGACGAAGCAACTTAGTAATCGCCCACATTCCTGCACACCATGGACATACCCTTCTCCATAAAGACTTCCGAAAGTCTCGGCTCCGACCCAAACTTGCTCGCGGGCAGCGTCAGCGTCTCCTTCGCCTGCGAGTCGAACGTCGGGTTCTCCACCAGCGCATTCACAATTTCACAAATATCCACATGTGGTTCTTGATCTGCGCCGGCCTCGCCGCCGCCGCGGCCATGTTCTTCGCGACCGCAGTAACGAGATGTTCCGTGATCTGGTCCGCGATGTGGTTCACGTGCGTCCCGCCCTTGGACGTCGAGATCAGATTTACGAACGATACCTGCTGGAACGCCCCGTCTGACGCTGCGCACGCGACCTCCCATCGCCCCCCAGCCAGCGACTCGTGTATGACGCATGTCTCGAGTTGCGCCGCTCCGTCTGTGTCATTCGCCGCGGCCTCGGCGGAGGATTTCACGAACAGCTCGACGTACTCCTTAAAGTTCTTGATCTTCAGCTGTTCCTCGTTGAGGAACACTTTCACGTCCTTGACCGTGCCCGCCAAGTCGTACACGCGCTTCTCCAGGAGCGAGGCGGCGTCATCGTCGATGGACTTCATCCCACATCGTTTCAGGTCGGACTTGAACGTGACGCGCGTGTACTCCTCCCCACGCTCGTTCTTCGTGATCTTCGCCTTGCCCACCTTGTTCATGTTCTCCGTCCACGTCTGCACGTACTTCTGGCTCGTGATCTTGTCCACCGTCTCCACAGTGAACTCGGTCGAGTATATGTTCGCCAGCGTCGCTCCGTCACCATTGCGACCACCTGTGAGCTTCTTCCCTTTGCCGTCATCTTCGGATGAGGAGAGGTGGCCGAAGATGAGTTCGGGGATGTAGATCGTTTCCTCCGAGTGTATCTCGATTGGAATACCTCTTCCGTTGTTGCACACCGAGATCATATTGTTCTCAATGTCTATCGTCACCTTGATGATGACCATGCTCGGGTCGTTGATCTGAATCCAAAGTGAGCGCCAAAGGGGCGCGAGACGGGAACGACATTCACGCTCACCTTATGAACCGCCGCGTTGACGAGGATCTCGTCTACAATTTTGAAGAACTCGAGGACGTACTTGACCTCCCTGTAAACCACGCGTTTGTGGTGAGAGTCCCACGTCCACACAGTGGCAGTGGTCGTCTCCACGCTTCAAATATACGAGGTGTCGGGTCGCTTGGGGATATGCTCCATTTGCGAGAGCTACAAGCGATGGTTACGGCGCATGTAACGAGTTTGCATAAGCGTAACACACTTTGGTGGACATCTCTGTTGCGCTCTTCTTTTTGTTGGTCCCTTTCAATGCGGGCGCGGGCGAAGACGGACCCGCGGCAGAAGCAATGCCATCGTCCTAGTCGTCCGCCTCCGTATCGGCATTTGTAGCTGTCTTCTGCGCAGGAGCCTCATTCGTACTAGCCATCATGGTTAGTAATGAAGTCGTCGGACTCAGAGCCCAATATATCGAGATCAAAGCGCTCCTCGGAGCCACTGATCGTGCTGGAGGTCGACCACTAAAGGTCTACCACCGCAGTGTAGCAGTGAACCAGTAAGCAGAGGGTCCAGCGAAGAGGTGTCGAGTCGCGATCGGCAAACGCGTTCGCGCGATCTGCCCTCACCGCATCCAGCACGTGACACAGACGCCTATGACACCAGGCAGACTGCTGCCCTGATCCTACTGGGCGAGCCTTGTGCTTGCAGATGTCCTTATGGCTGATCCGCAATCACGTACGCTCGCTCCATATCCCCTCTACCTATCGGAATTTTAGTACCGACTTCGTCTCCGTCGCAGCACACTATGCGCACCGAGGTGTCAGCCGCCCCGTCGATGGTTAGCCCACTGGTGGCAATCGACGTTCGCGCCTCGTCCTACTCGGGCTCGTAGTCACCCCTGCCGCTAATACTGACGGCAGGAGAAGGCATGCGATCCAACGCCTTTGTGGTCAAATCGTCTGTCAGGAATGGACGACTCGGACTGTGCGCAGTAGACACGTCGCATTGCAAGGCTGAGTCTCAGACTAGTGAGTCTCAACATGTCGATACCTACTTTGCTGAGAAACTGAATCAGTACCGTATAGCGTGCTCCGGTAGTCCCTGGACCTTATCGACCGTCATGTTGAATCCAGGTGCGTGTTCGACGAGATGTGTTTGCGGGAGTCAAGGACAGAACCTGTGCTGTGCTTCGTGTGACCATTCTTCAGGCCTAGAGCCGACCATGGAACTGTGTCACATACAGTGAGTGATTTGTGCCCGACACTCTGCAGTGATGGGCTCAGTCCGGTAGCCACCTGGTGCATCAACGCGAAGGGCGACGATGGAGATCGATTGGAGATAGTGGCTCGTACCAGACTTGTTGTATCACCCCGTGCTCACGATTTCAGAACGATGATTCCGCTTATATCTACAGACCAGTCAGATTGTTTAGTCACCACACAACTGTAGCATTGGACAAATGACCTTGCGCCAAATGAATATAGATTGTAGGACACTCTGTCACATTGGTCAGACCTTCGGAACAACAGTCATGCATGATGATCACGAATGGATATCTGTTGGTGGCATCCAAAACACATCCGTCTGTCTGCTTCCCCTCATCTTCGCTCCCCTCGCCAACCTCATGTCTGAGCAGGCCCCACACCTCCCGTCGGATGGCAGTGCAGTAGACATGGCGGACCATTCGCGTCGATAGTCCCGAAAACGCACAGCTCGTGTACATACCGCCCCATGCGGCCATGATCTACATCGTATGCGCGCGTGCACGTGGTATTTTGGAAAGCTAGCACTGCATTCAGCGACACATCTCGGTGATGGTGTAGCAGCCTACCTGAGGTGAGTCCTCTGTGGGCACAGGAGAGGTCGCTACAGGCACGGGGGGTGTAGCACCGCTGTCCTGCCAAAACTGCCGGTCATCCTGGGCTGTTGGATCATAAAACAGAGTTTCAGAGGTAGTCTTGTACTTGCAAACAATAACACATTCGAGAAATCACTCACACATTGAGGAACTCATCACAAGCCCGCCTGAACTCATGAACGTCGGAAAGCTCCCTTGTATATGCGCCCACCACCAATTTCGCCAAACTTCCCAGTCATAGATGCTGTCTGTTACTTGCCATCGCGCGGAGGGCTCACTGATGACTTCGTCTACGCTCGGTGGTGCCGCAGTGTTACGCGGCACCTCCTCCAGAGCATGGCCGATTGTGCTGAGAATGTCTGCAGATCTCTGTCGAGTGAACAGGGATGCCAAGCGTGGCTGGAGACGAACAACTTGAATGGGGACATCAGCCCTCCATAGTTTGAGCATTGTCGCCACACTGCCGGGGGCCGCTCTGTCTGTCAAAAACTCCGGATACACCCAAATCTCTAAATCCTCGAGCGCCGAGCAGGGGCTCAAGTCGATCCCCTTCGTCATATACATGGCGAGTTGTATTGACGCGTGGGTATTAGTGTCGGAGCTGCACATCGCATTCATTTCAACAAGTGAGATTGCTACACCTGGTATAGTCATTCTCATCTTGGCATCGTGAATGAAGGGCATGTCGACTGACAACTGCCTGAGACCAGTCCCACACGCCGATACCAATGTATTGACGCAGCGTGTGTCGGCGTTCTGTGGGGAGCACTGGCATGGGGATGTTACAAGCGTGCAATGGAATAGTACCATAGAGCACATACCCAAAACAGGAGGTTTGGTGGAAAAATGCGCAGCAGGAGCACGGCTCTTATCGGTCCGCGCTGCGTAATATGCTGGGAGAGGACCAAGCGTAACACACAGTACTATGATAGGTTCGCAGAAGCATTCCCGACGAGGGTATTGGGTTTACATATACACATATACAGCATCTTCTGTGACCTCCTTCTCCAACGCAAGACACGCCCTGCAGCTTTGAAAGGGAGTGAACCATTCTCACAAAATCACTGAAGCAATAGAATGTAACCCATTCCATATGTAGGCGAGTGATTGTTGTGAATGGAGAGGGGAGGAGAGAGAAGCGACAATGAAGGGGAAGGTACTGTAGAGGCTTTCCAGTTCCCGATTGGGACGCTCGAGGATACCAGGTCTCTTCTCCGCCAACGCGTCTTGTACGTAGCATATTGAGCCTTGGAAGCTTCCCGCAGAAGGTAGCAGGAAAGGGTGAGAGAGGACCTACTGTGGTGTGCAGGGTACGTCCCACAAGGATCACTTCGTGGACGTAGTCCCTCAGATGAGGCCCGTGTCGAGAACAGCCGCAATCTTATGAAGTGCTGCTATGTCATGGAGGATAACGGAGACGAATAGCCTCATTTGGGAGCGGACCCGCCAGTCTTTGCACTCCAGAGCGCATCGACGCAAGGCGGAAACATATTCAACTTGCTCTGAGACATTGAAAGCAGAATATAGCTGGTCGATGATGTTCTCGCAGACGTCGACGGGAATGTGCCTGGAGATGGGAGGGGGAGGAGGGAGGATGACGTCCATTGTGGGCGGCTGAGTGAGACTACAGCAGTGGACGGAACGGTCGAGGGAATCAGGATCCTAAGAACCGAATGGATCCCTGTTCTTATCTCTCCTACCATCTGACGCCAACACCGGGTGCTCTTCTCCAGAAACGATCTGTGAGACTTATAAGCCATGGTCTTTGCATACTCATCTGTGTAAGACGGACATCTGCGGAAGCCAAGGACAGGACCTTGACTGCGTGTGGCCGTCCTTCACAGCATTCAGCGCTGTTGGGTATTCTGCGCATACGGCCAAGTTGGTTCGTCATATGTGATCATCTGACTGCGAATGGTGACCGGCCAGCAGCAAAAAATATCAAGTGTGCAAGGCAACGACTTGATGGCCACATACACATGAAGCGAAACATATACAGCATGTAGCCGGACATAGAACCCTACCTATCTCATGCGTCTGGACATGAGGCCTCGAGGAATACTCCGGTATGGTTGCAATATCTATATTGCGTATCACGACACCCTCACGAACCTGAGACAACAGTTCCACTTTACTGTCGGTCCGCCAGGACGAACAGACGGGTAGTCACTTGATCCGACCATTCCGCACAACAACGAGCGAACCTCTCACCTACAAATGTTCTTACCGTCGTCGCATCATATGTATACAACAAGCATCCGTCATGCGAGATAGAGCAAGCACTCACTGTATCACATGTGTCGGAACTTGTGAACACCAATCATCCACGAGAAGTGTAAGCATGGATGGGTGGCAATACATTCAGCAAACAGACACCTACAGGAAGATGGCACAACAGCCAGAGCATCTATCCGTTCAAGCAGCGCGAGCCATCACCTCTGCGCTGGAAGCATGTCCTCGTCATCGTCCTCCTCGCCTTCCTCGAGGCCATCTTCAATCTGGTCAGCTGCGTATTCTTCAGCAGCACCATTTTGAGGTGCCGATTCGTTACGGCGACACTACGAGGGGACAATGATGTCAGTTCACGAGCTGAGAGGATGTGTCCAGTTTAACGTACGTGGTAGACCGCTGTCCAGTATCCGCTCCAGTACATGGCCGTCATCGCGTTCGAGAACGCCTCGTCCTGGCTTACGATAGCTGCTTCCGCACCACTACCCAACGTAGCGGCGTTGATGGCTGGGACGCTCAGCGAGGGCCCCGCGGGCGCGAGGGATGGGTCGTGCGTCGGCACAAAAGTGTCGAAGTTGAGAGGGCTCGAATCGGCCGCTTCGGTTCTTCCGTTCATTTCTGCTTCTACAGCGATGCCGTTCGTCTTACTGGGCGCCGCTTTTAACTTGCCCTTTGAGGTCTTCTCGGGAGGGACGTTGTACCAGCTGCTGACGAGGGGTTGAGTAACTATCCAGCGGAGGATGTGAGAGTAAGACGTACAGAGGCGATTTCTTGACCGGCTCCTGCTTCCAACTCTTTCCAGGCCCGTGAAACGCCTACAAACCCCATCAAAACGTCAGTCCGGTCATACAACATATCACTTCGCATCGCTGGCCCAAGGGAGAGAATCGCACCTCATACTCAGCAGCGGCACTGTTCCACGCATCGATCAACGCCGAGTCGTCCCAGATCTCATCATGCGACAGCTCGCGGCTCTCCTCTTCCTCATCCCATTCCTCTTCTTCTTCCCCTCTCACCTCAGTCTGCCTGGGCGCGTCGTCATAGCTCATCTGCATCCCCTGGTTTCCTGGGTCGTCCCAATGCTGCACGGGTTGCCCAACACGACCGTTAGCAGCGCCTCTTTGCCGTTGGTTAGGGCCAGTCTTGCGCTTCTTCGCGGGGGGCTGAGGGTTTGAAGAGTTCGCTTGGTGTTTTGGGTTTGGTGGTGGGGGAGGTAACGCTGGCTGAGGGGTCGTTATGTCGTCATAAGAGATTATAGGGCGCATGAACGGAGTAGTGCGAGTAGTAGAGGAGGGGAAAAACGAGAAAATAGATGGACGTGGGCTAGGGCTGGTAGGGGTACACGAGCAAGCTGTGAGCCACGTGCCAACGGGTTGGCGTGCGACATCGGATCGGCACGCCAGGTCGACACCGTTACTTACATGGTGCTTCAAAGCTTCAAGTTACTTAGACTCCGAGTCCCACCGTTGCGTAGTGCACTGCGCACCCATCTCGCCACACCAAGTTCGATTCGACTCAATCGGTCTCCGCTGGTAAGCCAACCTGCCAAGCATGTCGCCTTGTGATGAGTCGCAAGGGGCCGTTCTCCTTCTCAACCGTAGGTTGCGGTCTCATACCAAACGCCGTCCGCATGCCACCATATATTCTATCTCTTGTACTCACAAGTTAACACTGGCTTTTATGAATATTGCAATAACGGCATTGTATCATCTGCGGTGGGACTTGACATAATCATTCACCCTGATGTATCATACGCCCCTCTGAACAACAGGAAACGCATGGAGTCCCTCCGCCCGAATCGTCCACGTTCGCGAAGATACAAAACGTCGGTGATGTCCGCCAAATGACCAACGTATCTCGCCTACTTCGCACGAGGCGAGAGTCATTTGTCACCGAGGTCGTCTCAATGGGAAGGAAGCCGGCACCGCAGCTGCGTCGAGGCCTGTGCTTCCTCGCATGTCTGGTGAAGCGAAGGCGCCAACGTGTCCGCACGTTGTCCTCGGCCATCTTGCTGCACTACCTTGCGTACGTTTCCCACGGGTCCATGAGCCTTGCTCACTAGGCTTGTCATCTTGAATCTGCCACGTAGCTCCAGGATAATCGGAACGAGTTGCTCAATATGGCATCAGCTAGTCTTGTTAGGGTCCGGGAATGCTACAAAATCTTCCTTGGCTCGCTCAACAGTGAGATGAAGAATCTCGAGTACGTATACCAAATTTGTGTCAATGTCCAAGGCCGCTGAGTGTAAGGTTTCTGTGTAGTGAGCACAGTGTGCGTCTCCTAGTCGCTTCGATGTGCCGAGGTTCAATCCTTCTGACTTTGTCTGATTTAGCTCGCATCTCTATGTGACGACCTACGTGGGACTCTCAAGTATCTCAGTGAGGAAATCAATGCGAGACGGAGTCCTTCGTATCTCTCTGCCCGTCGAGCTCCTTGCTTGTATCCTCGAGGAACTCTTGTTCACGAGGTCGGACGAACTTCCGCATGCGTTCAACTTATTTTGCAAGCCGTCGTTCAAGGACAGCACCGCGTTGATCAACTATCTCCCAAACATATCGCCGTCTCCGTGTCGTCGCTTGTTCGCGGCCGATCTGGAGGGCCCATATCACCTCGGGGGCGCTTCGGGCTCCGTGCAATATGCCTCTTCCGGTCCTCGCGCTCTGTCTCTCTCTCAAATTGTGGCATCATCGAAGACACTGATCGTTGATTCGGGCAGGAATGTCAACGTTTTCAGCCTGTACGATGCAGCCGCAAGCTCTCGACTTCAAGGAGTCCACCTGTTACGAACCCATTCCTCCCCCGTCGACGCGTTCGAGGGGATGATGGCGTCACCTGTCCTTCGTCCACGATTCAAAGCGTTATCCTTGGGGTATAACAATGACCACATGTGGCGCGAGCGTACCTTTACTCTAGACCACAGGCAGTACCCGGCACTCGAACACCTCTGCCTGGAGGGCGTCCCGATCCGCCTGCCGGACCCGACTCTTTGGCAACCGATCTCGTCTCTCACTCGCCTCGTGATAGTTCCGAGCAGGTCTGGTTCTATTCATGCCCATATCCACTCTCTCATCCATACATGTCCCAACCTGAGAAATTTCGTACTGTCAAACGTTCCCCGCATGTCAACTCTGCTGGGGTGCCTGTACCGCTGCCAGAATCCGTGCCTGTCCGCCGAGTTATCCTGCATGACACGAACCTCTCGCTCTTCCCTCCTCATCACCACGCCGTGGCGCTCCAAGTGATTCACGACCACATACCATTTGCAGGTTTTCGCTATGGCCATCTGCTAAGAGATAGACTACAAGGACGACCTACCCACTTGCAAGTTGCAGTGTCCCCAGACACCACGGCGAACAGCGGGGGTTTGGAGTTCTCCGTCACTGTCGCCACCCCTGGCAATGCCGTTCGAGGAGGGTCCAATGTTACCCTGCTCGGCAAGTCGCACCACGACCAGCCCGACATCTGGCTGAACCATCTGCTTTCGGACGAGGTGGCGGATTTGTCAACTGTACGTGAGGCATGTGCTGGTGAACGCCGCTGCGCCGTTCACCGCCCTCGTAGCACCGTTCATTTCGAGCGCCACGACTGCCCTCCGCCGGCTCCCCGCTTTGGAGACCGTTGTTCTCGTCACGATCGACCATCCCAGCAACGGACCCGGGAACGCGTATTGGCCCGACCTCTTCCGTCCTACCGGACACCAAGGACGTCGACTTCTTCACCGTCCACCTCAAGACGCTCCGCATGGTGTACTACCACGCGTGTCGGCCGCCCGTGTACCCGTTCAGCCGGGACAACATCAAGGTGGGATTTCGGCGCATGCTCGAGCAGCTGGCCCCGGGGGCATATCGGTACCTCGAGCATCTCATCGTGCAGTTATCGCCGGGATTCGAGATTGAGGACGCGGAGACCGTGGTAGGCGAGCTCAAGGCATACTTCCTGGGGATCGATCTAGATGTGTAGTCATATGTTGTGAAACATCCGTTCATGTGCTCTCTACGACAGAAATTGTCCGGGTGGATTAGGCGCACGGTTATGCCTACCCCACGCCAACCTGCAGGCCGGCGTCAGCTCCTATGGTTTGTCAAAGTGATAAGTCTATCGCGGAAGTCGAAACGAGCCCTTTATGGGAGTATGGGCCGTGTCGTCCGAGAGCAGTACCCACGCCGATGGTCACCGTAATTCCTGATCATCGCAGGACGCTGCACCTGTACCTACAGCAAGCTGCAGCGCCAATCGCTGCCCGTCGTCATCACCGTCCGATGTCGAGCGGGATATACGTCCGCTTGTCGAGCATCGATATGTACCGAAGGTGGTCCAAGTGCTTGTTCTCGACCTCGAGGCCTGCGGCGTGTCTGAGAGCTCGACAAATGCGGGCGTATCAACCCAGCGCCATCTGCCTCGCAATCTCCGTCCAGATCAGTACGCTGATATGTGCCGGAGCACGAGCACAGGCCGTCTGGACAAAGGCGGCAGGAGACACAGGACTCGCTGCACGCAGCGCCCGCGCGTCCCACACGGACAGCCGCACGCAAGCACTTGGGCAGAGGACCCGCGGCAGCGGAAGCTCCTCAGGCATACTACGTGCTCTCCGCCTCCATGATGAAAGCCGCTCTCATATCCGCTTCTTGTGATTGAGTCGTTGCGCCGGCCTGTGAATGAAGGTGTAGAATTCGGGATTCAGATACACGATGCACTTGCACGGCCTGGTGAGGCTGCTAAGCTTCGTTTGGCACTTGACCGTACAGCATTGCGCCCTTCTCTCGCGGGACTTGTTCTGTAGTCCCGTGGGAGGTGGACGTCTCCAGCATTTGTGAATCGTGCTATGTCTCCTCAAGCAAGCAGCGTCCTAGGTGCTGTAAGTGGTTTGCTCCTGGACAGTGGACGAGCTCATCTCTAATCGCTCAACAGGGATCTGCTTCCGCCACCGCACGCGTTGTGGCGGCGAGCCACCGAGCTCAAAGCAGACGGCCACTGATGCCACGACATTATTGCCCCCATCTCCGCGTCCGCGCACGATCCCGATCCAGCACGCGCCAGTGCCACGAAACGATCGGACGCATCGGGAAAGGCCATCTCGCATCCCTCCGCCCACCAACCTGCAACGGGCGCTGATCTCGCCTCTCGCCTCCCGACTGCCCCTGACCGAGCTTGGCCGACACGACGGATCCCGCGGGGGCGCGCAGCGTCGGGAGGGGCCGACTTCATATCACGCGCGGATCATGCTGCCACGCGCGTGCGTCGCGTCGTCCCCGGTCCCTGGGCAACCGAGCTTGTCGCCGATACCCGACGTCGGCCAGGGCTCGCGTTCGTGCGAGCGGCCAGCGACGCACGCGGATATGCGAGTCGTCTCACGCGCGAGCGAGACGGTTTGCTGCGGGAAGATAGAGCTTCAAGTGTGCTGGTGGCATGGCGGGGCGAGATGCCCTGAGAGGGGAAAGTACGTTACGTACCTTGCAAGGTTCGAAACTCGAACCTCCTGGACAACTCAATCACGCCTAATCAATCCTTGATATCGAACGGCCATCGAAGTTCAAACTGCACCGTCAGATAGCCCGTGCGACATCTCGGCATCTTGCCATTCAGAGCACGAACAGCCGCAGCTGTATGCGCGCGGGGAAAGTGTACAACCCAGTCCGTACACGGTACCGCAAAGCACGGACGGCACGGAACATCCACAGGGCACATGGCAATACGTACTGCAGCAAAAGGCCTGCAGTCCTCGAGAACCGCGGCGCAATTGCCGGGTATATGCTTATACCTTGTATAGCCCCTACGTCGGCGACGGCGTTGGGCCCTCCGGAAGCAGAGTCGGAATGGCGGAATGGAGCCGGTAGCCTGCGGAGGACCAAGTACGCTCACCAATTTTCCTCGCTATTGGAGCTACTTATTAGCAGGCAGCGTAAAACATCGCGCGAGAAAAGAAAGACCAGGTTGAGGCAAGCTTGGCCGTCGTAAAGCATGTACATAGCTATACACGGCGGCGCCATACACCACCCGATCGATGCCTTGCGGATCGGAACCCGCCATGCCACACGCGAGCGGCGGCACCGAGAGCGTTCCGTAGGACCCGTCCGCCGTCAAGTCAAGTCAAGTACACCCCTCCGTGCAACTCGCGTCCACACGCTGGGCGCCGTCGAAGCTGGGCTGAGGGCACGACGCCTTCTCGCATGGCTCCCCGCGCGTCTCTCTTGAGTGGCTACACCACGTATCCGGAAATCTTGTCATCTGGAGACGTCTGCAGGAAGATCCGGCTCTTCGTTAGGATCGATGGCCAGGCTCCCCGCTTCTGCGCTCGTGTTGGACGTGCATGTGTCGATGTCCTTGGAGATCCTGGAATCTTGGAAGGTTCCTATATCTGGATCGATAGCCATAGCCATCGACATCGACATCTAACCGTACAAATGTACATGTCGTTGTCGATGTGCGATCGGGTCACTTCGCCCGGGCTTCGATGGGAGGAGATCCTTCCGCACATCTGCATCTGTATTCAAACACTACTGAGTACGGCGTACATGCGCGGAAGCCGGTCCGTGCTCAGACGTACGCGCATACGCTGAGTAGGCCTTGGTAATGAGCGTGCCATGACGTGTCGACGACGAAGTGAGCACGGACATATGTCCGCCCTCACGCCAGGCCTGCCGATCGGGCGGAAATGAAGCGCAGCCTCGCCCCGACCACAAGAGAAGTCGAAGCCGAAGCTCCAGTTGCGTCGCCCAGCATGTCGGTCGATCGTGCACATATCGGTCCGCGCACAAGTTCGCGCCCAGACGAGATGCATAGAAAGAGATCAGATTATGGCATAGGATCACAATAGTACACGTACTGTACGACAGTAGAGACCGAGCACTATTATAACAGGGATGGCATACGGTAGCAAACAGGCGTCTACAGTCACGAGAGCCGTTGCACGGTCGAGACGGGAAGGGGAGATACGCGGGCGCAAGGAGTGCGCGAGGAGAACTTCGAGCTTGGTCAAATTATAGCTAGTGAGTCCAAGGCGTCGAGAGCGATGTAGGCAGCGAGGACGGAGGAATCAGATGATCGGGGAGAAGGGGCAAGGAGATAAGTGAAGGAGTATAAACAGCGATAAGGGTAACGACAAGGCAGGTATATCGACAGTAGAAAGTACAGAGCAGCGCATGACGAGCTATCGGGTCGAGAATAATGATAATACACAGCATACACGCACAAACAGACAGTCACAGACGGTCGACAGACAGCAGGCAGTGGAACCAATTACAGAGTGAAGCAAGCAAGGACAGCCTACCCACCTCAGCCGGAACACCCGACTCAAAAGGTGGAGAGTGTGAAGGGGCCTCCAGGAGAGCGCGGCTCCATCTCGCGGGGGCGACGGAGCTGGAAGTCTGTCAAAGTCGTCCCATCAGTTGCTGGCAGGAGCTCCGAGTCGGAGACGACGACTGACCTCCGTTCCTGATTATCGGGTTGGCGCGACGGATCCTACGCTCCTCTTCTTCGCGCTCAAGCTCCAGCTCATACGCAGCCTTGCACCCGGGAATGCGCTTCGCGACATACTCTGGCACCTGCTTCGGCTCCCAGCGTCCACCACCAGTGGCTTTGCAGATTTTGCTAGCACGCCTGAGCGGGTAAGAGTCGAGCTCACCAAGGGACAGCTCAGAGTCGACGATGAGAACACCGTTCGACTGCGGGATGGGAGTGTTGGATCGCAGGGGCGAAGTGGGGATGCGAGGAGAGGTATGGGTGCGACGGAGAGCCGGACGCGGAGTGATGGAGTTGATGGGGGCACCCTCGGGCGGGGTGTCCACAGAGGAAGACACGGAAGAAGGACCGGAGCTCGTCTCCGCGCTGCGAACGAGCGCGATAGGGCTGGCCTTGGACATCACCGGAGAGCGGGGAGTCTTGCAGCCATGGATCTGGTCGAAGCAGTCGTTGCAAACACGACACTCGAGGACAGGAGAGATGGGGGAATCGTAGACCTGAATGGGCACGTTCCTGGGCGGGTGGAGGAATTCGAGCTTGGAAGCGTCCAGGAGGGTGGTAGTCCTGTTGGAACAGTCACCACAGAAGACACCGCCACACTTCCTGCAGTGCTGGAATAGGCAAGATACGGTGAGTACGGAACATCTGTCACCGACGAAGAGAGATGTTCTCACATGTCTGCGCTCCCAGATGGAGAAGGGCCTCCGGCACATGAAGGTATCGCAATGGGCGGCCTGAGAATCGGGCTGTGCGCGAAGACGAACATGTCAGTCACGTGAATGTTGAGAATGCAGCATGGGTGGTTGAGGAATGGAACGCACCTTCCAGAGACGCTTGGAGAGGAGAACGGCGAGATGCTCGTTCTGCCTAGGGCGGGGCATGGAACCCGAGGCCTCGGTCAAGCACGAAGGCTCAGAGTTGCATGAGCGGGAGTCGAACGAGGAGCTGACGGAGGAGACGCCGAGGGAGGGGGCGGCGTCTGTGGCACGCGAAGGAAGGTGAGTACGCGGACGCGTCAAGGCACGCGAGGACAAGGTGAACGAACCCTCGGACATGACGCTCGCGGTGTCGTCGTGGGGGGTGGCGCGGTGAAGAGAACTGAGACGAGTGACCAGGGCTGATGCGAGCGCCATCGTGCGAGTGAATGATGAGGAGGGCGGGAGGGGTGCGGGGGAGTGACAAGAATCGGGAGGAGGGATGGGGAGAGAGCCTCAGCAACGGAGGTGTCGCGAGGCGTGGCGGGGAGGAGACCGGATCGTTAAATAGAGCAAGACAGCGGACGCGACCAGGGAACGCGCGGCGTCTGGTCCTGCAGCCCGGCCTCCACCTGCCATATCCAAATAAGCTTTGAATCGCTGTTTCATCGCAACTTGCCGCCCTCGGCCCATCCATCGGACTATCTCATCGGCGCCTGATTTCGTTTCCCCGAGCCCTGTTCTCCACAAAGCCCCCGCCGTTTCCCGGCCGCCTGTGCCACCCAGTCCCATCCCCGTGTTTTGCCCATCCACGACATCTAATCCATCTCGGGAAGCGCTGCGTTCTGTTGACCACCCCAGGTGCGCGCGCAGACGGCAGGATGCTATATCAGCCATCTGCCACGTAGCCGCCGAATCCGTCGCACAGATAGATGTATGGTTGCGCTCAGGCAGGGGCTGCGAGGACTCGAGCACGCTGCACGCCTCGCGCCCCGTCGCGAGGGCTCGTGGCCCGGCTGGGCCGACGCGTGTGGTGCAACGGGGCGAGAGCACCATGTGCAAAATATGGCTCCGCCCGGTACATTTTCGCGATCTGGCAGCAGCCGAGCAACGCACCATCGCTGCGCTTGCCTGATCGGGGCCGTCTGCGCCCCTGGCTCCCACGATCCCAGAGCCCTACCTGCTCTCACGTCAAGCCACCCGCCATGCGTGCCCGGCTGGGAGAGGCACACGCCTTACTGGGCTCCCTCGGAAGCCACGCCGCGCGCAACGACAGCAGAGCACAGAGCGTCCTTCCCTTTCCGTCGTAGATCCTCCCGAGCTTGTGCCAAAGCCACCGAGCTACGGTGCGGGGCGATGGAGGGCGTGCGGTCCGCCGTGGAGAGCGTACGTCGACCCACCACCGAAAGGCGATGTCACCCGGCTTTCCACAGCGAACGTCCGCCCGCCTCTTGCGTCGCAGCGCCTTTCTTGGCTTCTACGGCACTCCAACGACCGCTCGTCGTTTTCTCCTCGGACGTCTTTGGCACACCGACGCTCCAGCTTCACTGTTTTGCCCAACGCCCGCGGTCGTCCGGTCGATCGACGCCGGACGATGTATGTACGGGCCTGTGTTATTTACCTAGCCGATTCACCCTCGCGGCCGCCTCTCCTGTATGCCCTCTGCCGGCCCCCGCTTGTCGCTACCCTCCGATGTTGGTTCAATGGTTGCCCACTAGAGCTATGCGCGTACACCTCGTGTCATTATAGGGTCGACCAATCGACCGTGCATACCGTTATGTTTTGACGGAACTTTGTCGTTCCTTTCGTTACTCTACGCTCTGACCCTGCGCGTGTGTATTTGTGAGGTAAGCGCGAGGTAATATAACAAAGGGGCTGCTGTTTGTAGTCTCCGGTCGGAAATACATCCTCCTCGTGCGGGAGAGCGCGACGTGTTTCCTGCACCACCCGTGGCAAACAAGCCCAAGAGAAGAAGACATGTGCACCCTGCAGGAGAGATCTGAGACCCCCGGCGTCATCGAGCCACACCATCAGCCATCAATTAGGCGTTCAGTGCCCATAGGCCCACCAATCGCGACGGCCGCGCCATCCGAGATCCCAAGCAAGCCTGCCGCGTTGGCGACTCGCGCACTGCCAGGCGACAACGAGACAACGCTGCATGTCCACTAGCGTTCCATGTGCCCTCTAGATTACCGGCCGCGTCCAAGGCCGCCACCATGCTCGCGCCCCGGCATCCCACACTAGCGCGGGAAAGCTTACGGCGCGCCCGCCAGCCAATGGCGGCCCACGCTCGGCCGCGGGGCGTCCGTTCGCGGACATGTCCGCCGTCCCTAGTCTAGAAGGCGTCGTGGCGCCCGCCGACGGCCATCATACGTCCCCGAGGCCAATCAGACCACGTCTCAAGCCGTCTTGTCGCCTTCGGTCCGCGGACGCTTGCGTTCGAAGAGCGGGAATCGAAGGAAGGCTGCTCGGCGTTGGGTGTGTTTGGGAGACGCCATACTGAACGCCCGGGTTGGACAACAGTCTTGTGCCATTAATTGGTTGGAGCAATGATCATCAGCCCCACAGCTTCTTCTCGTCTTTTGAAGAACTGTGGGTTCGGGGGCACACTACTATCTGTACTCCAGCAGTCGGAGTTCTGGGGCATTGTTAAAACAGCGCTGAAGGAGGAGCCAGGCTGCGGTCAGGATATACGTATCTGCACATTTGGTGCAACAAACTCGCGGCTCCATTGAGTAGCCACTCCTATCGTCAGGCAAATAGCACACGACCCCCCAGCGCCACGTAGAAAGCGTCCGAAGGCGAACACGAGACCTTCCTTGGGCTGCACGCCTCGAGGGGACCAATCGAGAGTCCATAAGGCTACATTCGGTATGTCCGTCCTCGGCGGGGGCGAACGACATTGACAGTGACACCCCGGGCACCTGCGAGCGCTCCCCGACACAGTAGCAGCACTTGCTACCACGTCTCTAGCGGTTGTTACCGTAAACTAAACGCTTTAGCTTGGGATAATGGTCACCGAACCTGTCAACCGTCGCACTACGGCAATCCATTTACCAAAGCTCACGGTAAAGCGCGGTACTAGTGCTACTAGTAATGCGAGCTCCCCGTCCGCGACGCTTTTACGCTTTCGCTCCCCTCAGACGTCCCGGCGGCACGCCCTGTCCAACGTCCAATGTCCATCCACAGCGCCAAGGGTCTCAGGGCTCGTGCCCATGCTCGCACCGGCTCAAGTGTGAATGTATGTACATAAAGAACACCAAAGCCTGGAAGCCCCAGCAAGCGAGCGCGCGCCCGTCCGGAGCTTTGGTCTGCATCTACGCGAACGGCGATACGGCGGGGGACGCGCCTGCTAGAGAGCCCGAGTGTACGTACAGGCTTTGTCCATAGAAGACCGTCTCGCTGCCGTTGGCGGAGCCCAGGGGCTCGTGGCCGCGCTGCGCCGTCAAGCTTGAGGAGAGTGTTACGCACGTACGGATTATTGCCTCCGAGCCCCGTCGAGCTTCCCTAGTGGCGTGTTCGTTAGATCGTAGGTCCCGACATTGCCGGAGATACCGCACATAGCACCAGAACGCGAGCACGAGCATCGATTGGTGTCGCCGGAGGGTCGAGGACCGCTACTACGCCCTAGCACGCGCGCACCTCCCCGCATGCCACCAGCGCAAGAATAGGAGGTTGAGAGAACTCAAGACCAAGAATGGCAGCCTTGTTACGTCTACAGACACCGGCGTCGCGAGTAACACACATTTCTCCGGGACATACCTCCGAAGCCGTACGCGATCTCAGACATCATGTACCAACGACCACCCACGGAGGGCCGCTGCACAGCGATTGGCCCTAGCCCAAAGCCAGCGGATCCCCATAACCTCTTCGTAACTCGCGCACCCCATGCTCAGAGCTTTTCTGGGCAAGCGAGCGAACGGCCGCGCGACCAATCGCTTGCGTCGCGGTGTACGTGAATCCGTGATAGGCCGCCGCGCACCACGGGCCCTAATAGGCTTGCGAGTTACGTTAACGGAGCGTCGGCGTGGGTGCGCCGAGCAGCCCTGGATGTTCCCTGCGATGCGTACATAGGAACGTGTACGGCCCTGGTACGGGCACGACCCCAAGCGAACGAGCCAAGCCCCGAGTTCCCCAGCAACACGTCACACTCCCAGCCAGGCGCGCTCGAGCACGGCGAGCAGCATGGTCCGCTCGACTTCCCCCATTACCATCGTGCCAGCTGTCTGCGTCTGCATGCGCTCGTGCCGATCATCCTCTGTGCGTTCACTACCGTTACCGTGGCCGTGGGTTTCCGCGTCCTGAGTGACGTCCCGGTCTGCAGCCGGATCCTCGTGAAATGGAGTGTCCAGAGTTTCCTTCCCGTCGGCGCTCGGTCCAGAGGCCAAGTCCGGAAAGGCAGCAACGGTAGAAGGCCGTGTGCGCCGGAGGAGGTCTGCCAGCGCGGCGTATACCGCTTGCTCGGCCACCGTGTCCGTCGGCTCAGGCCGCGGAGTCGAGCTCGAGTATGAGGCCGCCGCCGTCTGAGCCGGAGACAGAGCCGCCGCTGAACAAGGCAAGAGCCGATTGAGAGCAGCACAGAGGTACCACGCCGCGTCCTTCCTCGCCAGCCACGTCATGCGCTCCCGCGTCTTGTCGTCAAGTGCGTCCGCGCGCAGATCGTCGTCTCCCGTAGCAGCAGCAGCCCCAGCAGTAGCACCAGCGGCAGCAGCAGCAACCCGCGCCAATCGATCCTGATTCCAGAAGCCAGCGCGCGGCGTGCTCGTGAACTCCAACCCAAACCCAGACGACGCACCGGACGCACGTCGGACAGCCTCCTCGCACACGGGACCGCGTCCGCCGCCCGAGCTTCCCCCCACGCGAGTTTCGCCGAGGTTTCCCGCCGCGCGCGCCAGGGCGCCCAGCGAGCGTGGTGTCCCGTACGCCCATCCTGTCGCGCTCGCCCGTGATTGCGATTGCGGGAGAGGCAGCTGATCGGGGGAGGAGGGGCCAACCGCGGCCGTGCCTGGTCGCGTAGGATCCTCGCTCGTACCGCTGCCGCCCCCGAGCCCATGTGCATACGCATACGCAGAGCCGGGCAGGAGGGCGAGAAGGAGGTCGCGCGGAAGCGAATGGCGTGCTTCCCTCCCGCTGCTCGGGCGTGTGTTTCCGATAGTATTACAGGTGTTTCCCAGGGCGGCGTCGCTGCTGCTGCTGCTGCGCGCGTCCGGGGTCGTTGCCAGCTCCGCATCGCGTCCATGTGAATACGCGCATGAAAGAGGGGCGTACATCCTCTCCAGCTCGCGCACACACACGAGCGCAAGGAGCCTTTTGACCGCGCACACGCCCGAAATAGCGTGCGCCCCCAGGTCCGTGGCCGACTCCCGGTTTGGGTTTGGGTTGGAGGTTCCATTCCCGCCCCTCCTTCCATGCGCGAGATTCGTACCCGCACCGGCAGCCGCAGCCGAAGAACCGCGTGCGATAGCGACGCTCTGAGCTTCGAGCGCGGAGAGAGTCTTGTCGAGGAGGTCGAGGATCGTCGGGCGGAGGTCCGTCCCCCCGCGCGCTATCGCAGCAGGGAGCCGAGAGAGCGGAGAGTTTCCGCCATAGCTTACTCGAGAGCTAGAGTTCGACTTGGACTGAGGCCGTAGACAAGCAGAAAGGAAGCTCCCCGAGACCGGCGCGAACGCCAGGACGAGAGGGTTCAGGACGAGCGCATATACCCAGCCTAGCACCTCGTCCACAGCGCTGGCGGTCTTGGCTGCAGCTTTGCCTTTCTTCGCGTGTGCCGAGAGGGACGAGAAGACGGCGGGTATGAGCCGGTGCAGAGTCGAGTCGACTAGGCTGAGCGCCGCCAACGGATGCCGGACACCAGAAGCTGCAGCACTACTGCCCGTAGACACAGACGCAAACCCAGATTCATGCCGAAACCTAGAGCCTGCGCCAGAGCTAGCACCAGCACTAGAACCCAGACGTGAACGAGACACATCCGTAGAGCAAGCAGCGACGCAACCGTCCAGCAACGTTCCCAGCGCACCCAGCGCACGAAGGGTGGTCTTGAGCAGGAGTTCTATAGGTACCGCCTGGGCACCCTGCGCGAGCACGTCGGCCATCATGTCAAACGCCTCCAGGTCGGTCAGGACGGCGGGTGCGGTCGCGACGTCCGACGCCGACGGCGGTCCCGCTGTGGTGGGTTTGAGATAAGGTGTCGTCAGCACGCGTGCGCCATTCATAGAATGCGAGAAGGACGGCGAGTCCATGCGCAGAGATAAGTCGAATGAATGCTCGGTCTTCGATGCCACAATCGCTGCAGTCACAACTCCACACTCGACACCCAGACCGCGAGAACACACGGAGGCCCGGCGCGAGGGCGCCAGGCAATAGGCAATAAGGTGCAGCTACAAACTCTCCGCGCGACCGCGGGAGCAGAGAAGCGTGCGTGCAGACGTCGTCATAAGTCTAAATCGCGCTAATGACCGCAACCGCGGTCGCACACGCGTCGCGAACACGACATATGTGGGGACCGCAGCCCAAACATATCATATCGCATCCGTGCGACACGACGTCCGGAAAATTCGGCTGCCTCTGGGAATGACCATTGACAGCCGTTACGGAAACAGGAGGCACTAAAATTGGCCTCCGGGCGCAGGCTGGTTGAACACCGAAGCTACGTACGTGGACGATGGACGCCGGTTCTAGCATTGGACAGCATTGGTCCGAGGTCTACTTCCTCCGAATGCATACCGCTCGGTATGTCTCCGAGGAGATGAGACCTGGGGATATACGACGGCGCGTTGTATGATGATACTCCATCTCCATCTCCGCTGTGCCCACTGCACTGGTGATGCAGATAAGCCACACCAGAGACGCAGATGGGAAAGCAGCGCACGCACGCACGGTACAAATGTGAGAGAACGAACCGCGTCCAGTCCAACTCAGCGACGACATCACGCTTCTCGCACCTAGGACGGAATAGGATGCGTAGACGCGCAGCGGATGCTGATGGTCATGGTGGTGGCGGTAATGAGTAGGTACCGTCAGCCGAAGGCCGAGCGCGGAAGGCTAACTGATGCATATGAGGCAGAGCGTCCGGCGTCCCTCGCCGTTGCAGGACTGCGATTGCCCCTCCTGGAGGGGGACGATCTCCCGCTCATCATCTGCAACGCTCGCGGCGCGGAGCAGGGCGGGATGGGACGATCATTCGACGCGACGATCCATGCTACCCCCATGCTGCTGCATACGGAGCTCTCGTCCGCCCGGACGTGTCTCGGAACGACGGGTATTCCATTAGACTCCTTTCGCACATGGTTTGAAACTGCTTATTCTAGCTCCTCATTGGTAGAGAGTAACGAAGCAACTGGCGGAAAGACTCTAGAGGAGATGAGGACAGATCCGTCAAC